ACTCCTGAAAATCGAAACTGACGATCTCAAACGTTATCCTCATCAATGAAATTCTCGGAACAAGCAAAAATATAAGCACAAGTTTTTAAAGAAACAAAAGAGACAGTAACACTGAGAACATTTTTAACACACACCAGACCTATATTGTCATTCACATCACATTTTTTTCATAGAAAAATACAAATTCTTGTTATTAATTTCAACACGTGTCTCGAATTTTATTCTTGTTATCGTTGTACGTTTTTATGCATTTTAATTTCTGTCATTAACATCAACCCCCGTTACAGACAACAAATAATATCACGTCGAGATAACTACTACATCAACACCAACTTATCAACAGCTTTACAGGTTAATTTCTCAGGGTCGATGGCTTCAAACTGATTTCGCCATGTTCTTTTTTCACGGCAAGTGCTATGATGTATTGAACCACAAACAACCTTTTCATAATGACACTTAACAGGGGAAGCATTAAACCTGTATACCTACAAGTCCTGCCATTTGTTTCTTTTATCTGAATATTTTACTTAGTGCCAGGAAATCTTTTCATGTGCAATTTTGTTTCATTGATGTTTTGTAAGAAGAAATATATTAAACAACTTTTATGTTTCTACTGCTTTGATATTTGAAGTTATTTTCCCCTCCGGGCAATGCAGAGCAACCATACTAGTTTTTATATTTAGCACGTGGTTTTTCCGCTTTTCTCCAATTACCAACGTACATGAATTGGAAACTATTAAACCAGATCAAAACAACGAAATGCTCTCAAAGTAAAAAGGGAATAGTCCAATATCCAAAGAAGCTGAATAATCGTTTGGGAATTGGTAGATTTGTTTTGAAAAACAAGCAGGTTTTCTTAAGTTTGCAAGCAAAAAGAAAAACATTCAACTTTGTAGAGGTTTTGTAATCTTTTATATACCATAACCTTTCTCCACGAATTCATATCCCTTGGCACATGAAGCAATATTTGAACCCATAGTATCCCTGCCTGTTTATGTTCAGCCATCCATAAATCGTCAGCTATATTACCCGTTGTATATCGCTACGCCTTTACTATGTCCTGTGAACAACAGATACTTCAATCCGTTTTTCCTTATTATGGGACCCAGAAATTTCACCTAACCTTTTCCGATTATAAACAAAAGTGTCCAGCTTTCCTTAAAACTTCCTTGTTGCTCACATTTTCCATCCACAGTATTCTCAGTATCCTTCTGTAGAACTACATCTCCATTGCCTCGAGTCTCCTCTTCATCAGTGAGGAAATTATCCAGCATTCACTGTCATATAGGTTGATTTATATGACATAAAAGTCTTATCTTTGTTTTCGGTGAAATTTTCCTGTTAATTCTGTGCTTTGTTTCTCTAGTCCAATGCGTCTTCGAATTTCTGTAAGACATTTTTCGTCGTCTGTTATCAAATTTTCCAAATAGATAAAATTCTGGCTTTTTTTCACGCCCCAATTATAACTTGCATCTCGGCTTTCCCTTTTGATGACGACCGTTCTGTTGGTATTCATACACTTTCACAGACAGAAGCAAACACAAACATACACCCAATTATATATATATATATATATATATATATATATATATATATATATATATATATATATATATTATGAAATAGACGAAGTCCGACAATTATTTTAAGACATTTTATGTTTATACATTTTTTTATATATTCTTTTTATAGATACAAATATTTAAGAAAATGCTCTGTTTATAATAAACAGTATTAAACAACATTTACCGGCCTGAATGTCCGAGAAATTTTCATAGAAAATATGCATCCTCCGACAGGAATCGAACCTTTGTCCTAAACGGAACCGTCATATACCCTGACGTGCCTTTAACCGAACGCTCATCTGTGGCCAACTCTTCAGCAGTGGTGAACCAAAACATGAAGTGTTGAGTTAAATGGGAAACAACTGAGACATCCGGAAGAGGCATGACACGTGGAACTAGAACGAGAAGTGCGAGAAAAGCAAACCATTAGCATAAAATTTACGGTTGCATCTAGCCAGCTTAACTGTAAATTGATGATATCTCGACGCCAGTCTAGTACTGCGCTTAAATTCAAAAATGTCTGGGTACCATAGCAAAGAGATCATTTGAACAATTACCATGAAAGTATTTATAGAAAAGACATAAAGATGAAACCTTACGGTAGTGGGAAAAAGACTGAAGCTGAGATGCCAAATAAGGACCGATAATATTGCTGATTCTTCTTTGAATTTTATCAAAGAGCTCAAGGTAAATAGCAGGGGTACCTGACCATATCCAGCAGCAATATTCTAAGCATGCGCGAATGGTAGACTTATAGATATGTAAGATAGATTCTGGAGAGAAAAATTGTCTCACACGACACAATGAAGCAACTTTCTTAGCATCTGACCTCGCAATGGATTCAATACTGTCTTTCCACTTTATGTCAGCTGACAAAGTTTGCATGAAAAGGCGCAACAACTTACTTTTCTGGAGGTTAGCATCAGCTATGGTGATGGAAGACAAAGAGGATTCTCTTAGTTGATTAATGGAGAGAAGTTTAGTTTTTGGAGCCATTAAAATTGACACGCCATCTGTTGCTGCAATTAACGATGGACTTGAGATCGTTTTGGATATCGGCTGCCATTTTGACCTTGTTGGACTGATTAGCCTATCGAGGCAGGATTAATTTAACATATATTATTTCACGTATACATATATAAGTCCGAAATACACACATAATGAAACGCACATATGTTCACGGTAAAACCATAAACCCAACACAGTTATTAAATAAATTTAAATTTAAAATTTTCACTGTATAATGTGCGTGATATACGTGAGGCATGGGTATTAAGTGCATTAAGAAGAAAACGGATGATAGCGAAAAATAAATATTCGTTGTGTGAAATAAATGCTTATTTCATGACTGCGCCATATTTAGATGAAAACAGAAGCTCTTTATTCTTGGCAGCAGGAAACGAATGGTTCCGAAAATGGTTCCATCGACACAGCTGCAAATAGAATTGAAGAAGATTCGTGAAATCGATTTCTTGTTGCTTTAGTTGGGGAGAAACGATTTTTCCGTAACTGAGGAGTGCCTCTGGCCGAGCACAAGCTTGAAAAATAAATGGACTTTTTTTCTTTTTTTCCACAGTAGCAAGACTATTCATGCTGTAGACATGGGCGCTGGGCAGGTTTTATGATGGGTTTAACAGCTGGACCATTGGAATGTTGAACACTTTAGCAAAGATAAATGCATTGTCTCAATATCAATCTGTTTTACCTAAGGAGGAGCCAAGCCCTATCTATCTATCTATCTATCTATCTATCTATCTATCTATCTATCTATCTATCTATCTCGTTCTGTTCAATATCTATCTATCTATCTATCTATCTATCTATCTATCTATCTATCTATCTATCTATCTATCTATCCCGGTCTGTTCATTATCTATCTATCTATCTATCTATCTATCTATCTATCTATCTATCTATCTATCTATCCCGGTCTGTTCATTATCTATCTATCTATCTATCTATCTATCTATCTATCTATCTATCTATCTATCTATCTATCTATCTCTTTCTGTTCATTATCTATGAAGTATAGTGAGTGCAGGTGGTAATAAAATAGTGCTCGATATATATATATATATATATATATATATATATATATATATATATATATATATATATATATTTAACGAACAACAGAGACTTTAAGGTACCATTACAATAATTTATTTCACCAAAATCCTTTTTAAAGGATTTCGGATCATCAGGTAACACTTCCAACAATGAAATGAGAGGAAAAATGTGATATATATATATATATATATATATATATATATAGATAGATAGATAGATAGATAGATAGATAGAAAATGAACAAAAAGTGATAGATAGATAATGAACAAAACCAGACATATACATAGATAGATAATAAACAAATCGAAATAGATAGGTAGATCGACAGACAGACAGACAGATAGATAGATAGATAGATAGATAGATAGATAGATAGATATCACTATAGCTAGATAAATATGAAAAGATAGATGGATACGAAGAAATAAGGTAGTTAGACACATAGATAGATAGATAGATAGATAGATAGATATGAACAGATCGAGATAGATAGATAGATAGATAGATAGATAGATAGATATGAACAGACCGAGATAGATAGATAGATAGATATGAACAGATCGAGATAGATAGATAGATAGATATGAACAGACCGAGATAGATAGATAGATCGATAGATAGATAGAGAGAGAGAGATAGGACGCATTCTCTAGAACAATATTTCGCAAATTTGCTCTCTCGATTCCATTGGGCAAGTAATGATTTCCATCCTTGCTATTTATAGAATCATTGTTAAACAAGACTTCCCTACGTCTATAAGTCTATTTGCATGTGCGCATGTTGCACGTTTTGCGCGTGTTGCGCGTGCGTAGGTTGTAACAAAATCACGAAAGAATTTCTAAATTTATTTATATGTTGATATCTGCCATTTTTCTTTTCGGATTTAAAATTCATTTCCATTTTGAAGATTTTAAATCACTTAATATTTTGGGACCCACTAGGATTAAGATTCTTTGTACCGAAGTTAAGCAACGTTGAGACTGGTCACTACCAATTGGTGGATGACCGCTTGAGGATACCAGTAATACCTGTAAACTTGGGCGTGCGGGTGGTGTAATAGAGGATGGCTCGGAATTGTTAATCGGAGAGCTGAGTTCCAATTCTCGTTGGGTTCGTTATATTCACTTGCGCACAAATAGCCTTTGGAAAGGTACGGATCCACCTATTCCCCCCCAACCATAGGTTAATTAGTAGGATGTATCTGTAAATCATTATTATCTCAAAAAGAAAAGTTCTTAACATCTGAAAATAATTTCGTGCTTTAAATAAACTGAAAAGGCTCACAAGCCGTAAAACACCTTTTCAGGTTATTTAAAGCCTGAAACTACTTTTTCGTTACCCAATATACGACACGCACATCCGAACTTACAGCACCTGGTATTCTCAAGTGGTCACCAATCTAGCTACAGACCAGACTCGACGTTGCTTAACTTCGGTGATCGTACGAGTATCGGTGGTTCAACATCATATTGCCGTAAGACCATAAGCCTCATGCACTGTACTTTTTGCCTTTTCTTAATCTCATATAAAATCATAAAATAAGCCCCTACCTTGAGTGGCTCTTGAGCCTTGTAATGGTGAACATTAGCTTCAAGCGAATTATTCATTTAGGTCAATCCTTTATCAGACCTGGCGCTAACAAAATCACTGATGGTAATGGTAATATTTATTGTTTCCCTACAAGGAAACGATTAATAAGAACCTTAACAAATACCAAAACCATATCACTTGAAGACTTCCAACAGTTGCAACAACTAAAATGAACATCAATTGTAACTAGAAAGGATAATAATGACAAGATCAAGATGTCTGCCTTCCACAATACCATAAACAAAAGATTAGTAAGTAAACCACAATGACTACTCGAAAGAGCGATAACAGTTAATGGACTGGATAATCTCACCCTTACAATGAATTTAGTTACAATCTGGTTCATATTACGGAGATTAACAAAGCTTGCTTTAGTTTGTTAGAGAACTTCAGAAAAAGATTAAACAGTAAGGAAAGAATTCGATTCTATGAGACGAGCTTTTTAATAAGTGTTCTATCTATTTACGAGATATAACTTATTTTTTGTACTAAATACAAGTGCCGTTTGGAATTTATAAAACCAACATATCCGTTTCAAATAAATGTTTCGTTGCATGATAAACGTGCAACACAATCTATATATAAAATTCTGTGACTTCTGTCGGTTCGTCAAACCATCTAAAATAGTCACACATTAACTGATCGAAACCAAATTTCAGGGAAAAGTGCAAACAGCTAAGGGGATAAAAGTACAATTGGTTTTACTAATGTGCGTAGCTTAGTACAATAAATTTTAATTCATTTTTATGGAAAAATTAAAACTTTTATTATTAAACATACAAATTTCTCCCACTATTTTAAAAGCAATTTAATGATTAAAATAAAAAATACTTATTTACTAAAAATGCAATATTGTTTTTTTGCATATCTTTTCTTTAAGTTTTTTTTTATATATAAGAATCCAGTTTTCAGTTCGCCACGCGTTTGCGAGAACTCTGAACAAATCACAAGGCCAAACGCTTCAAAAGTTAGAATTTGGCTCCAGAAAGAAATATTTACGCATGGCCAGTTGTATGTTGCATGCTCAAGAGTAAGAAATCCTAAAAATTTATTCTTTGCTGTTAAAAAGGAAAAAACAAAAATTCTTGAAAATATTGTTTACCATGAAGTTCTATTAAAATTAAGTTAAATTAAAGAATTTAATAATCTGCGAAGTAGGATTTTTGTATTTTCCCCCAAAAATCATCGATTGGTTTACAAAATTGAACGATACCTAGAGTTTGTAAATCTTGATAAAATGTTAACGATAATTTCAACAATAAAGATTTCAACATGCTTCAGCGGGTTGCAAAAGAATTTTAGTATCTGTCTATATTTCTGAGATGAGATATTATGTACACTATTTACATTATTCGGACTATAGTCCTCATCTTTGTCGCCGCATTTATTACAACATTTCGGCCATTGTGTCAATACCCGGTTAAGGCAGTGGAGAACTTTCAGAGGGAAATTAACAGGAGATAACTGATAACTGACATCCATCAAACATGGCACGTGGAACTAGAACATTCTACCCCAGTGAGCGAAATAAAGGGTTCAGTTCGACATTCCAACCACCTGAAGAAGGCCGAAGCGTACAACGGCCGATACGTTGTAATAAATATGGCGACAAAGATGAGGACAATAGTCCGAATAATGTAAAAGAATTTTAGTTTTTTAAAACATAAGCGTACCGTACAAAATAAGCATTGTGCCTGGTGAGAAATTGAAGTGTCGGCACTAGTATTTGGTACACAAGAGTCGTCAGAAATGAGGCTAAAATAAAGAGGTGCCTAGCGAGGAATGGACTCATTACGGTTGAGATAATACGTGAGTGTAATCTGTGAACTATCGCCCTACAGCAGGCACACTTTTCGCTTCGCTTTGACTTCAACGAACGCATTACTTTTCTTCATTCCTTTTCCTCAAAAACTGACTTGGAGATTTGCTGTATATTTTAACGTCCCTTTTCTGAGTCACCTCAGTTTTTCATTTTAAATCAGGTCAACGAAAGATGCCAAAGAAAGAAATACATCAAGTTTAAGGGTGTCTGGAGTATTTCGAAAGAAAGTGCCGTGCGGTCATTTCACGGTGACGGGCCACGTGTGTTTGGTGACGGCATCTGGAAAACAAGTGGGTAATTAAAACTGACGGGCGACTGATAAAGAGTGCGGAGACACTGAGTGACAAGATATTCTTGACCCCGGGTGAGCTTGAGCCTGCCTACTGTTGGTGACGTTGTAGTGGTATCTCTCTCTCTGTCTCTCTCTCTCTCACTTATATATATATATCTATACACATATATCTATACACACACACACACACACACACACACACACACACACACACACACACACACACACAAACTTACGCACCCAGAAATCAAACCATCCTTTCTCTCCCTAAAACTTGTTCCAGAAAATTATTGATGTTTTTAAAAGAAAAGGCACATTGGAATAGCGAAAGATGCCTTCCAAAAGCTAAGCAAAGTATTAAGAAGCAGGAAAATTTCGTTAGAAACAAAGAAAAGAGTATTGGAGGGTTATGTAATATATATAATTTTCTCGATGACTGGCAACAAAAATGTGGTCCTACAGAAGGATGCTGAGAATACCATGGGCTGAAGAAGTTTTAAGAAAATTGAAACCATAAAGACACTTATACTTAATATCAGAAAATGTCAGTTTATAGGGCATATAAATGAGGAAAGAAGGCTTGGAGAGGGAAAGAGTGAGTAATATACGCAAGAAGCTTGTGTAAATGGAGAGTTGATCCCAGTGGCGTAGCTAAGGTGCGGTCCGCCCTGGGTGGCACTTTTGGACTTCGGTGAGTTTAAGGAAAAGCAAAAAAACAACAGCATAATTTCAATAATTTTTGCAAAAAAAAAAAAAAAAAATCAGCAATAGGGAAGAAAGGCAGAAGAGAAGGTTCAAATGAAGCCAATTTCTCATTGATATATGGCTGGATTAAAGCCAGCCAGCCAGCAATAAAAATAAATGTCTTCAAAAGTCGCTGTCAGCTGATAGGGATAAACCCCATTTACAGTACGTGAACAAAAGGTGTGAAAAAATTTGAACCGCTTGATGCGTGGTTGGATTTAAGTAAATTTAGTGAATCCACTTTTGACAGCTAAGTGAGAAGTCCAGACTTTGGCGTCAGTTCTTTGATTTTAATTTTTCATGTCTGTGAAATGTTAGTGAAAAGAAAATTAAATAAGTGAACCAATTTTTTTTTTTTATCATAACCTAACTTTAATACAAATATAAAATCGTTACTTTTCCTAAATTATAAAATTAATAAATTGAAATAATTCCAATGCATTAAGGATATCACATGCATTCCAAATCTTTTTCGGAAATATCGAAGGGAACAAAAGAAAATTGAAAATTAATATATTTTTTAAGTGCAGAAACTTTATTTAAAGTTCAAAAATTGGCATTTTTCAATTTTCAATTTACAAGTTTTCACGGTAGTAAAACAATACTGTTTTATGTTTTTTGTTTAAATAGTTGAAGTTTTATTAAGCAAAATAGACTAAGATTTAAAAGTATGATAACATTTATTTCAGTTTTTAAAAGTGAGATTAATTTTATCGGACTTTGAATTCTTAGTCTACTAATTTTGCTAATAATAACTTCAAATACTTAAAACAAAATTATTTAAAAAGACATTGCAATTTTTTTACATTGTTAAATATGGACCGGGTTTCTAAGTTAACGTGAGATTTGATTTATGACTCCTCACATGTTGGAATTGAAATAAATATTAAAAAAACTGATTAATTTAATTAAGAATTAAAAGTACAATGTTTTTTTTTTTTGCTTTTCTTTTTAAATAAAACAGAAGGTATATATATATGGTGCTCGGTAAAAATGGCAGGGTAAAAATGTCAGCGGAAAAATGGCAAAAGTGGATAAATATCAAAAAATGGCAAAAGTGGATAAATAGGAAAAAATGGCAATTTGACAACAGAAAATTATGACTGTTCAAGAAGGATGGGTCTAAGCTCCCATCCCTCTAGTTAAAAATAGGGCTAAGTCCCCCACTCAATATTTCAAAATAAATATTTTTAAATAGATATTTACTATAGTGGGGGGAAGCTAAGCTAGGCTCATTCTCCTCTTGTTTTAAACAGGGGCTAAGTTCCCGCTCCTAGTATTAAAAACATTTTTAAAAAATTTTCGATGGCGATTTTTAGAAGTTTTAGGGGGGCTAGGTTCCTACTCCCAATTGCAGTAAAAAGCACAAGTCGTAGCGTGTTTAAGTGAATTTGATAACTATAATTAATAGCTGACATAGGGTTATATATATATATATATATATATATATATATATATATATATAATATATATATATATATATATATATTTTATATATATATATATATATAAATATATATATATAATTTTTTCCCTTTTTCCCTTTTCCCCCTCATTGAATGTTTTTTTGTTTTTAAGTTTATGATTAAATAATCCCAGTGTATCAAACTTGAGGAGTACTGGGACAAAACCGGTTGTTTGTTTTAGTTCTTAGTTTTCATAATTTAATTGTCCTTTACATTCCGCTTATTCCTTGCTATAATAAAATTTTGTACCTGTAAGAATCTTTTCATATATATATATATATATATCTATATATATATATATATATATATATATATATATATATATATATATATATATATATATATATATATATATATAAATGTATTAGTGTTTATATATAGAATAAGTGTATTACTGTATATATAATTTCTACTTCGGTCTTCGAATGTCTCGTTTGAATTGTTGCTATTCCGGCCTTTGTTACCAGCCATCATAATCATGAATTGCAGTCATTTTATATTCAGCACTTTTTTTAATATGTTACTGTTTTTTCAATACAAGGCACAAGAGACACTCAAAGTA